GTCTGCAGTAGCAGTGGCTGCATTGGCAGCTACAACTGCAGCTGTGGGGGCATAGTCTCCAGGCCATCTCCGGGGGTCCGCAGCAGTGTTGGCTTCAGTTGCATCTAAGGCAGTGGTTTCTTTTGTGGCAGTAGCACCCAGAAAGAAGACCGCCAGGAGATCTCAGGCTGGCAGCAGTGGAATCACAGGCAGCAGCAATGATGGTAGCAATGCAGGCCATGGTTGATTCACAGGAGACTTCCGGTTCAGTGGCTGGGACCAGGGAGTTAGGATGGAATTCACCCCTGAGGTAACTGAGGGCATGCCCAGAGTAGAGCCCTCCCAGCAGGGCAGTGGCATCTGCCTTTTTATTTCTTTATTTGGAATACTTATCTTGTTGGAAGAGTATCTGGAAAAGATTTTCTCTCATTCTGTAGGCTCTCTCTTCATGGTCTTAATGATTTCTGTTGCTGTGCAGAACCTTCTTACTTTGATGCCATCCCTTGTACTAGTTCTTGGTGTGGTTTCCTGAGCTGTAGGAATCCTATAGAGGAAGTCATTCTCTTTGCGTATAGGGAGGAGTTTGACCTTATGTTTTCTTCTAGAAATTGCAAAGTTTGTTGTTGTAATTCTTAGGCCTTATTTCCATTTCAAGTTGACTTTTGGACAGTTTGAGGTATAAGAATTCAACTCTCTGGTGGGTCTTGTGGCCTCACAGAATCTCTCCATTCCACACGCCCTCTTCCCTCAGCTTCTGTATTCCATCGCCTATTGTCTTCTTGAGCATCTAAGTCATGTCCACTTGCTGAGGGGTGGACATCAGTTTTTCCTGTCTTCACAGAGGTCACAGAACCACAGAAAATACCATAACTCAAGTGGATTTATGTAGCTCCATTTGTGACCTCACAGTTACATAGGTTCCAAGTCCCCCATGAGGCTCACAGGGCTAAGGTCAAGGTGTCAGCTGGTCTTTGTTCCTTACTGGAGGCTCTGGTGAGGAATCTGCTTCCAGGGTCAATATGGTTGTTTTGAGAATTCAGTCCCTATCTCCTTGCTGACTGTCATGAAGGAGCCACTTTTAGCTCCTGGAACCCTCTCCCAGGTCCTCATATGTGTCCTACAGCACATCTCATGCTTCTTCCACTAGAACCTCTGATGTCCTCTCTGCTGCATCTCCTCCACCTGCCTTTCCTGTAGCATCTCTCAGACTCCAGGCAGAGGAGTATCTCAGCTTGGAATTTTACTGTGATTTGATTGGTCTACCCAGGACAATCTCCCCAATTTCAGATGTTCACCTTAGTTACATTAATAATGTCCTTTCTACCATATGATACAACGTCTTCATTCTTCCAAGGATTAGGGCCTGGGCATCTTTGGAAAAAATTTTCAATCCCCACTTCTTCTTGCATTGAGATCAGTGAGGAGCAGGAGACAGCACTTCTGAGAAGGTGACAGACAGGGAGGAGCCAAGAGTGCTGAGATGGTGTCCTTGGGAGTGCCTACCATGAGGGAGTTGGGGGCTCCCATCTTATGCAGGTTAGCAGATATTGGGAAGGGGCAGCAGATGATCTGAGATACTCATTGTGGAGCACTTGTTCATCCCAGCTGCTGACCCCCAGGGAAACCCCCAAGGGAGGGGACTTCAGAGGGCCTGTGTCCTTTAGGAGACCCAGTTTCTGTTAGAGCTTGGAGGTGAGGACATCTTGAGAGGTCTTTGGAGGTTTGTTTTTCATGAGCTGAGATTCAGAAGGTGCTATGGGGAGATTCCAGTTTTGGGGAGAGGGCATGAGAAGAGACAGGGATATACAGAGCCTCGGGAGGATGACAATGCAGGACATTGGAGGGGACCTACCATGGCTAGCCAAACAGGGAAAAGACACATGAGGTTAGTCCTGGGGGATTCATGCTCACACCATGGCATGTGAGGTGGGATGGGAGAGGGCCAGGTATGGGAGCAGGTGGGTCTGGGTCTTTTCTTTATAGATGGAGATGAGATGTGGGTTGTAGGGTCTTAATGCCACTTGGAACCTTTCTTGCCCCCTGATCATTAGGTGGAGCATCTGAGGTGAAGATTGGCTAGTCTGTGCTTGATTTATTCCTCAACTGAGGAGAGTTGGGTGCTCACCCCTAGCCTCAGGTGTGCTGACCCCTGCTGTTGGAGGTGCAACACAGACACAGAGCCCTGTTCTGTCCTGCTGAGGGGGACAGAGGCCCAGGGAAAAGAGGGGCTGTGACCTTGTCCTGATAGTCTCAGCGTCCATATTCATACTATTGTGGATATTTGGTGGGCAGTGAGTTGCTGTTCCTAAGTAAGAGATCATTTTGCTTTAAAAACCTTAGTGATTAGGGTGTTTCCAAAAAATATTTTCCAAAAAGTGAGAAATAAGGAGTGGAAGAGATATTTCTACTTTTCTCATGTCCTGGCTGTGGTCCCTAAGGGATTGGGGCTGCAAGTTTATATGGGATCCTCAGAGAGGGACATAAGAAATTATACAACTGAAAGAAATTATTCTTACATCCTAAAGAAAATGTTGAACTAATTAGGCCTATGGTCACCATTGTATTATTCTTTCAAAGCTTGGAATCTTTGATCTTTTTCATGTAATTTGGATATAATTTAATTTAATACTTCCTAACAACATGGGAAATATTCACAATACAATGCTGGACAAAAATTAAGTTTCTCTGGGAGTGGTGGCACATGCCTGTAATCCTAGTGGCTCCTGAGGCTGAGATAGAATGATCCTGAGCTCAAAGTCAGCCTCAGCAATGGCGAGGCACTAAGCAACTCAGTGAGACCCTGTCTGGCTCAGTGATTGAGTGTCTCTGAGTTGAATCTCTGTTACCCCTTCACCCCCCAAAATGTGTGTGAGCCATATGGTGGTGCATGACTATAAACCCAGCTACTCTACACCCAGAGACAAGATGATGGCAAATTCAAGGCCAGCCCGTGCAACTTAGTGAGACACTGTCTCAAAATTGAAATTTAAAAGACAGTGTGTCTCAGTGGTACAGTATCACTTGATTTGAGTGTTAGTACAAAAAAAAAAAAAAGAATGTAGGGGAAAAAAGTGCATGTTTTGAGAATGCCTCAGTTGAGGGTGTATTAGTGTTTGTCAGCTTCATATTACAACAGTTCAATACCTGAGGCAAGTAATTTATACATGAAAAGTTTTATTCAAAGTACAGTTTGGGAGGGTCCAAAGCCTGTACCTGTACCAGCTCAGTTCTGGTAAGACAATGGATGGTGGCCTACCTTGGTGTGAGCATGTTCCAGAGCTAACCTGTGACATCACCATCTAGGAAGCAGAAAGAGACTGGAGACCATGCCCCCCAAACCTCTGTGCATTAAGGGTTCCACTGGGACTCAACCCTTAAAGTTCACAGCATCTTCAATACCACTGTGTTGAGGATCAAGCCTTCATATAGAGACCTGTGGGTGACATGCAGGCCTATATCAAACCATAGTGGAGGGGGTGTACGTGTGTACAAGTGTGTCAGTCTCTGTGGACATTTATTCATCCATTCAACCTGCAATGCTTTTGAGGTAAGTTCTTTCAAATGACAGAGATGTTTAGGTAACATACTTTGAAAGATCCTTCAAGAATTTCCAGAGGAAGTACAGGGGAAATTTTATTCACCTTTTTTTTTCTTTTCTTTTTCTTTCTTTCTTTCTTTTTCTTTTTTTTTTTTTTTTTTTTTTTTTTTTTTTTTTTTTTTTTTTTTTTTTTTTTTTTTTTTTTGGTGTGTGTGTATGTGGTGCTGGGGATTGAACCCAGGCCCTTGTGTATACAAAGCAAGCACTCTACCAACTGAGCTATATCCCTAGCCCTTGGGAAATTTTATTCAGGCCCCAGGCCCCAGGGTTTCAGGACCTTGCCACAGATGAACATGTCATCAATTTTTCATGTATCTCATCTGAGAAAAAGTTATGCAAATACTATCATACTTGCTGCATTAAGAAGGAGCACTGGAGGCTGGGGTTGTGACTCAGTGGAAGAGTGCTCGCCTAGCAAGCATGAGGTACTGGGTTCCATCCTCAGAACCACATATGTATAATAAAGAAGGAGCACTGGAAAGCATAGGAGCAGAGGAAAAACATTCTACTTTTCAGCTTTCTGGGATGTTGTTGTCATGGGCTGGTGGAAGGGGTGGCAGAGAGGAGGCAATTCCCTCAGGCAGGGCACAAGGCCTCCTAAGCTCTCCTCTCCTTCAGTCTCTGCAACATTCAGGACCTGGACACCTGTGGAGTTCAGGGTGCTCAGAAACTTCCTCATTACCCTCTGACACGCAGCCCTCTAGGATCCAAGAGCAACGTAGCGGCGCCCCCGTGTGGTCCGTTGAGAGGATTTTTCTTGGAATTGGTCCGCTCCACCCTGTAATCAGGAGGACTCAGTACCACGCTGAGGCGGGAATTTGAATCCTGGCCGGCAAGGAGCCCTAGGAAGTGTTTTCTGATCCTAGAACCCAAAGGCTGGCCCTCAGAGGGAGGAGATGGGAGAAGCTAAATCGGTACCCACAGGCGAAATCCGGGTAGGTGACGGATGGACTGTGACCCACTGCACATCCCACTTCACTACATGGACGTCAGCCAGCCTCGGGGTCTGCGTTCTCACAGCCCAGCAGCCAGAGAACCCCAAACGCAGATGCAGCTCGCTAGCCTCCCGCCAGGCACCCATAAGCACCTTCAATCTGCGTTTATGTCAACCAACAATTTTAATTTTCTTTGGGCCAAAGTGGGCGTGACTTGTGATCTTCTGCAATCCCAGTAAAGTCTCACGCCACAAATCGCCGCCCAACTAGGGCAGGAGAGTGTGCTTCCTGGTTTATGTAAGTCAGAGCTGGGTGGTTTCTGTTTCTATTCAGAAACTGAGCAGTGGCGCTCAAGGTCAGCAGGTCAGCGCGGAGAAAGCCCCCAGTATTCTTGTGAGTCCAGGGGCCCTAAGGGGAGAGTGGAGGGTGTTTAGTGACAGCAGAGAAGAAGGGGGCATGGGGGCAGGGGAGGTGCAGAAGCTCTTTGCTCAGAAGACTACCCGAAAGTCTTGGAGAGGAAGGGGTAGCCAGGCCTAGGTCCTGCAGAGCCCCAAATCCTGAGCCAAAGACCTGCAGGGCCTCCTCTGAGGCTCACTCTTTGCTGTCATATGTAAATGTCCTGGAGCAAAACTAGCATGTAATTATTAAGGCAGTCAGTCTTTGGGGGAATAAGCAGAATAAGACAGATTGTTGGAGCTGCCACACCTAAGAAGTCCTGGAAGGAGGGTAGACAACAGGGAGGAAAGGGTTTGGGACCAGCTGTCAGGAGAGCTGTGTTCCCTCTCCCACTCTGCATCACCACCACCTTGGGGAACTTCACTAATGAAAATAGCCTCTCAGGAAGGAGACTGGACCCTAATCGTCAACCCCTTTTGTAATTAAAAACAAACAAAACAAAAAAATTGACTGTTAATAAAAAGGAAAGTAAGTCTAAGAGCTTGCCAAAACATCTCCATGAATGGCCTTTCCACCCACAGAAAAAGTCTAGAGGAGGGCCTTAGGGAATAGTTAGGAAGGGTAGGTAGAGTTCAGTTTTATAAAGGCATTTTAGGGGCAACAAAGATGAAATGAACAGTTTCTTTTCCTGGAGTTGTCTGCAGTCCAGGGGGATGTCGTGGATGATAAGAGGGATTCAAGGCAAGGCACAGCTAGGACCATCATGGGCCAGAACCCTGGTTATGAGACTTTCCTACATATTTACAGCACTAAAGGAATTTTAAAAGACACTGCAGCCTACTTCCCACCTAGCTTTACCTATTGAATATGTTTTGGACGTGGCCTGGGCACAAGGATATTAAGGACTCTCCAAGTGGTTCTCCTAAGCAGCCAAGGTACAGAACAACTGACTCCATGTTCCAAAGACCAAGAAATGTGTGTTGGGGACAAGGCAAACTTCTAGCAGAAAAAGCTGTCTGGTAAGCATATTTATTATTGTTAGTACTGAGATATAATTCATTTACCAGAAGTCAGACTTTGAAAGAGTGCAATTCAGTGGTTTTTGGTACAATCATGCGGTTGTACCACCATCACTACTGTCTTCATGGGATTATTTTAAGGATGTAGTGGGGTCTGATGGCTGGAAGGCAAGCAGGAGCAGTTGCCAGGGAGACTGCTTAACAGCAGCATCCTGTTCAGACAGGGTAAGGAGACCAGGGGAGTCTGTTTTGACCTCAGCCTAGGGGAGATATCACCAGGGAAATGGGGGGAGAGGGTGATGCTAGACAGCAGATTGTGGCACCTATGGGCTTTGTTGGGAGAATAGAGGCATCCTGTGTTAAAAATCAGCAGATGCAGCAGCTGTGGATTGGCTTGAGACATTATGGTGACAACTGGGGGTAGGCTCAATATTTAGGAAGAAGCATTTGCAGTATTCCTGGATGAAGGCAGATGAAAGTCTGGACTAAGGTAGTGTCTTTGAAGCTGTAAAAGGGTTTCAGAAGCTGACTGGGGAAGCCATACAGGCAGAGGTAAGGGCCAATTAGAAGTGACCAAGGGTGGTGATGCAGTTAAGTGTAGTAGGGAAAGGGGGTGGGTCTGTAATGGTTGGAGAGGTGTAGAGTGGGCTTATAGATTTGTCTGATTTGAGAGTCAATTGGGCCCAGAGATGCAGATGCCTTACGGTGGGCTGGCAAAGGGAGTCTGGTTGGTGTTGGATTGGCCCATGGAGAGCAGTCTGATGGGGCTCATGCATTGCTGTGGGATAGCTAGGGAAGTTACAGGATGTGGCCAGAGGAAAGGAGACCTGGTTCGTTCTTGGAGTCAATGGCAGGAGAAGGAGCAGATTAGACTGGTTGAAGCCTCTTAGGGAGTTTGGAGACTGAATGATGTAGTGCTGAAGGGGCTTCCGGGAGTAGAGGAGGCTGAATTCTACAAATAGCTCTTGTAATCTGGTTATTAGTGAATGTACTTGATTGAGGGCAGTATGCTGGGAGAGTAACAAGGCTTGGCTCTTCAGGAAGTGTGCCATGGAAGGAACAAGCTAGAGATGACCATATAGGGTAATGTGTAACAAGAGCTTGTGGAGAACCATGTTTCTCTGTGGGCGGGATTCCACTAGGTTCCCAGTGATGCGGCAGTGTTTCTAAGGTTGGGCCAAGGCAGTTGCTCAGAATCTGACCCTCAAGCATTCACCTAGCTGCCCTTACCTTCACGTCTAAGTTACCTGGGAAATCCTAAATCACAGGCGCTTTTCTGGACCTTGAGGCTGTAGGGACTTGGTGAATAGTTCCCAGAGTCTTTGGAAAGGTTTAGCTTGGCCTTGTGCTTGCAGGGAATTTCCACTTGAAGCATAGCTCCTCCCTCTCTGCTCCTGATTGGTTAGAGTCAGAGGTATGTCCTCATTGGGTGAGTGCTTATTGAGCCACACCTCTTGCCAGGTAATTCACCTGTGCCTCTCTTCCCGGGAACTTTGAGTCTAGTCCTGCAGATCAGCTGGGAGGGCGGGCGGCAAAGTCTCGCGCTATGAGGCTGAAGCCCGTCCTGCTGCTCCTGGCAGGAGCCGCCATCTGTGCATCTTTGGGTACCGCCGCTGGTGAGTGCGCTCACTGTGGGTCTTCAGAGCGGGAAATGCTTGAGAGATCCAGGGCGTCCAGCGGCTTCCAAGGAGAGTGGAGCCCACTTGGCGGGCTCTGGGGCGTTAAGGAGGGGTCCGGAGCTGGAGGAAGCCTGTTTCCAACAAAACCTCAACTCTGCTTTTCAGGGCGCATTCCTCATCACCTTCCGCAAGTGGATCTGTGCCTTAACTCGCTTCCCTCCCTCTGCTCTGAGCCTTGTACTTCCTTTTCGAATATCTTGGTTCTTAGGATGCCTTGGAGTCCCCAGATCTGCCTCCTGCTTTACTCTTTGAGAGGTATTCAAGGACCCTTGGAGGTCTGCCTTTCATAGAACCACTTCCCACTGCAGGGCGGGGGGTGAGGGGCAGTTTCCGGAGTCAGCTGCGTGTTCTCACTTGAGTCTTCAGTACCTGGAGTTAGGGGTCTTCCTTTCTTCCTGCCAGGAGCTTGTAGGGCCATCCCAGCCCCCCACTGTGTTTCATGTCGCTGTGGGTACTGACTACTCCAAACACTCAAGTGAGGGAGGTTAGAAGCTGAGGACTTCTGGGCCAAGAGATTGTTCCAGTGACTTCTCTCTTCTCCACCCTCAAGGTCCCCTGGCCTCCTGCTGCCTGAGGGAGGGGGGGTATTCTCCCCGCTCGTACTCCCCCTTACCCTATAACTCCTATGATCTCACTGGATTTCTCCAACCTCCTCAGCTGCATGACTCACACACCCCACCCTGTCTGTCCTGGTGCCCTCCACCTCCCTGCTCTCCCCTCCTGCCTGCAGTTCTCTGATCTACTTCTAAGGTGTCTGCCCCTCATCTTCTCACCCTCCCCTCTAGATCCTTTCTCCTTCCCTGTTAGTCATCGCCTAGAGTAGCTATACCTAATGCTGCTGTAACTACCTCCTGTCCACCCACCCTTCCCAGGCCTGAATTTTGCTGTTAAAAAAAAAAAAAAAGATTTTTAGTTGGAGTGGGTTTTTTTTTTCAAGTTTTCTTTTTTTTAATGGGATGCAATGTGAAATTTTGATACATATACACATTTTTTAATGATCAAATCAGAGTAATTAGCATATCCATCACCTCAAATATTTATCATTTCCTTGTGGTCAGATTATTTAAAATCCTCTCTTTGATCTATTTTGCAACATACTCTACATTATTATTTACTGTAATCATCTTGATGTGCTATAGAACTGCATAGAAGATATTCCTCCTTTCTAATTGAAACTTTGCATTCCTTGATCAGTGTCTCCCCTCCTCTGTCTACTCTCTATCTGTGCTAACCAGCACCCCTCCTGTCTGCCCCAGTCTCCACATATAAGTGATATCATTTTGTGTCTGTTTTATTCTCTTTTAATGTCCTCTAGGTTCATCTTTATTGTCACAAATAACACAATTTCTTGTTTTTTGGGGACTTTTAAAGATAAATATATTGGAGATTGATCTCAGGGTCTTGTGTCTGCTGGGCAATCCCTTTATTCCTGAGCTTCACCCTCAGCCCTAATTACTTTTTTGTTGTTGCTATTGTTATTAAGAGTGATTAGTATTTTTCCCATGTATTTTCCCCAATGTATTGTTCTTTTGTTTTTGTCTTGTTTTGTTTTGTTTTGGAGGTGGGTCTGCTGCTGTTTCCCAGGCTGGCATTAAAATCCTTGGCTCAAGAAATTCTCCTACCTTATTCTCCCAAGTAGCTGGGATTACTGACATGCACCATAGTGCCTGGCTCTTTGTCCATTTTTTGTTTTCTATTTTTTTAAATTGATATGATAGATGTACTTAATGGTAGAGTTTGTTTGCATATACATACATGTACACAATATAACAATGTAATTGTCTAATATCATTCCCCAGTATTTTCCCTTTCCATCTCCTCCTCCCTCCCCTGATTCCTTTCCTCTACTCTAGTGAGCTTCCTTTGATTTTCATGTGACCCTCCCAGCTTTCTTTTTGTTTGTCTTCTCTAGCTTCCACAAAAGAGAGAAAACATATGACCCTTGACTTTCTGAGTTGGATTTAATTCACTGAACATAATATTGTCAAAGTTCTATTCATTTTCCTGAAAAATGCAAAAATTTTATTCTTCCTTTGGCTAAGTAAATCTTCATCATTTTTATATACAATATTTTCTTTTTCAGTTCATCCAGTGATGGAAATCTAGGCTGGTACCCTATTGAGGCTACTGTGATTTGTGCTGCTATAAACATGAATTTGCATGACAGTATGATGGCTTTGATTCTGTAGTACAAATATAGAGGAGTGGTACAGCTGGGTGGTGGTTCCATTCCTGGTTTACTGAGGAACTTCCATACTGATTTCCATAGTGGTTTTACTAATTTACAAATGAACTAACATTGTTGTTCTTTTTCCACATCTTTGTCAGTATTTCTTTTTTTTTTTGTATTCATGATGGCTACCATTCAAACTGGAGTCAAATGAAACTCAGTGTAGTTTTGATTTTTTACATTTGGCCATATTTTTATTTACTACATATACTATAAACATATATAATACATGCTATAAAAGCATTTTTAAAAATTTAACTTTCAAGAAAGTGTATAGTGTTATAATACAATGGAAAATGTTCATATGTTATATCAAATTGGTTTGCTTATCATCCATTTCAAACCACTAATAGTGAAATTTTACTTGTGGAAAATTAAAAATTATCTATTTGCATAATTGACAATAAAGTCCAACAAATTAATAAGAATTAACCATGTCAAACATTGGAATCCAAAAAATGGGCTTTTGCAGAAACAATTATATAAAATATAGCAGCCAATTTCAGTTTATTTTGTTGTCTTCACATTCTTAATTGTTTTATTTGTTGTACAGAAACTTTTTCATCTGATGTCATCCCATTTATTAACTCCGGGCATCATTTTCTGAGCTTTAAGTGTCCTGTTAAGAAAGTCATCACCTGAATCTGGGTGAAGTGTTGAACCTCCTTTTTCTTCTAGGAGTTGCATAGTTTCTGGTCTAATTCCCATTTTTGGTCTTTGATCTATTTTGAGTTGACTTGTGCACTGTGAGAGATAAATGCCACCTCCCCATCTTCCACATAGGCATAGCCTGTTTTTCAGCATCATTTGTTTACAGGGTTGTCTTTTCTCCAGTGTGTGTTTTAGCGCCTTTTTCAAGGATCAGATGACTGTATCTGTGTGGGTTTGTTTCTGTGTCTCCTGTTGTGTACCATTGGTATAAGTATTTGTTTTTATGCTAAGTACCGTGCATTTTTTTTATCACTATTGCTCTGTAGTACAATTTGAAGTCAGGTGTTGTAATGCCTCTAGCATTGCTTTTTGGGCTCAGAATTCCTTTGGCTGTTCTGGATCTTTCAATCTTCTAACTGCACAATAAAACTTTTCTCTAA